CGACAACGTAGATGTGAGCGCTGCATCGATAAGCTGTCCGACAATTGTGGTTCTTCCCACAGGCGGGCACATCGAAGGCTCAGGGTCCGCGAGCTGCGCGGACACAGCCAGTGCAAGCCTGGGAAGGATCGCTGACACCTCCGGCGCGCCACGAGTCGTCATGGGCGGCGGCGCGGCCGGGGTTCTTGAAGACATCGTTCGTGTACTTGTAGTGGTACATGCGCGCATCCCCCGCCACCAGCCCTGGCGGATGGGCTGGCGTTGCCCTGAACGACCCAAGAACGACGTCTTCTGGCAGAGTGGTCGGGAAGAGGTGCATGAGAGCAGGACTAAGAACGGATGTAGAGCGGCGCGAACAGCTAGATAAACAGCTAGCTGGGTGTAGAGCGGCGTGGTCAGCTGGATGAACAGCGGCGTGTAAGGCAGGGGACACTTGGAGCCATGGCCATGGAAGCGGGGCAAGACATGGCGGACGTGGTATTGGAGCCGAAGCTCCGCTACCAACTAGAAGAATGGATGTGAGGAGAGATGGGTGCAAAGGGGTCCTTTCTGATAGCGGAGTATGTACAGCGCGTCTAACATCTAGACTAATGGCAGGCGCGATGCCTGGCCAGACTACACACGGCAGCGGGAAGCACGAGCAGCACCCGGCAAAGATGGGGTGAAAGAGGCAGAACAGATACCGTTCGAGGGGGAGGAGGATGAAGATGAAGGAGGAGAAGGAGAGAAGGAGGAGGAGGAAGAAGATGAAGGAGGAGAAAGAGGAGGAGGACGAGGAGGAGGAGGCGGAGGACCAGTTTAAACCCAGGAGTCATCAACGATGTTGGAGTGGAGGCGGGAGGAGGGAGAAGTCAGCATAGAGGAGGAGTGAGGATACATTGTACGCACACAATAAGAGGTCTTGATGTAAGAGATCTTGGGGCGCATGATTCGTCGATCTGTGATGATCCCCAGGTGCCCGAGAGCTGCTGCGGGTCCAAGGAGCTGTCGAAAAGAACGCAACTTCCGTGGGGCAGACGCTGGCAGGCAGATCTCTTCTCTGACGTGCCGACTGTTCGACGGAGAAGAAGAGGGAGGTGTAAAGCGCGAGCACGCGCGCGAACTCCCGAGCAACAGGCCACGCCGCATCTCGCTGGCACACTCAGAAATGGGTAGGGAAAACATGGACACGAGGCACAACCGCAAGTGTTGTCCAAAACCGACAGCGGCCGCTATCTGGCAGGCGTCCTTTTGTCTCAACTGGACAACGTCCGCGGCGACGCCGACAGCGAGCCCTGGTCAAAATGAACGAGAACTGCTGTCGGGACTCCAATGGGGGCCTGCTTCGGGGAAGGGTCTTTTGAGCTGTCCTGGAATGTTCTGGGGGATCTGGTTGGCCTGGGGGGGGTCTACACCTGCTTTTCTGAAAGGGTTGTGCTTCCATCCCTATATGATGAAACTCAGAGTCTTCGGCATTCGTCACCATTTTGTTCCGTACCGATCCCGACCGTACCGACCTCGGGGTCGGCGCAGCGCAGCTGCGTACAGCTTACGCGCAAGGGCGAGGCACGGTTTGCGCGAGTCCTACGGGTGCCCGGCGCTCCCTACTGAGCGCGAAAAAACACTGGCAGGCGGCGCGGCGCTGAAGACATTCGTCGGCCCACCGGGCCAACGGCGTGTCAGACCGGGGCCGGCACGGGAACGGAAAGAGCGCTTCAGAAAATGGCCCGACGCGGCTCCTGGCACTGTTCGCTCTTGGGAGCCTTGGCGTTCAGAACTCGTCACGTCACTGCGCGCTTTTGGAAGCCTCGGTGCTGCGGGCTGCTTCATGTCACTGTGAACTCTTAGGAGCCGTGGTCTCAAGAGCTGTTTATGTCACCGTTCGCTCTTAGGGGGCCTTGACGTTCAGAGCTTTTGAGAGCCTTAGTCTTAAGAGTTTTTCACGTCACGATGGGCTCGTGGGGACATTGCGTTACGAGATTTTCACGTAACCGCTCGCTCCTGAGCCTTGGCGTCAAGAGCTTGTCATTTTTCACGTCACGATGGGCTCGTGGGGGCGTGGTTGTTACAAGCTTTTCACGTAACCGCTCGCTCTTGAGAGCCTTGGCGTCAAGAGCGCGTTACTTTTCACGTCACGATGGGCTCGTGGGTTGTTACGGGCTATTCACGTAACCGCTCGCTCTTGAGAGCCTTGGCGTCGAGAGCTTTTCACGTCAGTGCTCACTCTTGGGGGACTCGGCGTTCAGAGCTTTCTGCGCCACCACTCGCTCTTACTTGGGAGCATCAACTTTTCGAACTGCTTCACGTTACCGTTCGCTCATGGGGGCCTTGATGTTAAGGAATGACTTTGGCCTTTCCAAGCCTTCTTGGGGGTCATGGCGGGGCCCGTTTGGGCCGCTGGGGACCCTTTGGGGCCCCTCTTGGGGGGGCCATGGCCGTCCAGGGGTCCCTCTTGGTGGCCTCTTGGGGCTCTCTTGGAGGCCTCTAGGGGCCCTCTTGGGCCGTCTTTGGGGCCTCTTGGGACCCTCTTGGGCCGTCTTCGAGTCCTCGGGCCGTCTCGGGGCTCTCCTGGGTCGTCTTGGGGCCCTCTTGGGGGCCTCTTGGGCCGTCTTGGAGCAATCCCTGGGGCCTCTTGGACCGTCTTGGACCGTCGGAAACCCGAAAGGCGAGAACCCTCAAAACCTTCTACACAACTCCAGGAAAACCAATGTTTTGGGCCTCCTGAAGCCCTCTGGGGTGTACTCTTGAGGGCCCCTTGGGCTGTTTGGGGGCCCTCTTGGACCACCTTTAGGCCATCTTAAGCAATCTTGGAACGCTATTGGGCGGTCTGGGGCTCTCTTGGAACGCTCTTCGGTCGTCTCGAAGACCTATTGAATCTCTCTTGGGCAATCTTGCGCGCCTCTTGAGCCGTCTTGGGGGCCTCTTCGGAGTGGGAGGGCGTGTTAACGCCGGATTGTTCGCTCTTCCCCCCACCCCTGAACCCCTCCCTAAGAGGGCTTCGCCCCACCACGAAGGTCATCACTCGTACCTCGCTCTTTGCGCCACCTGGGCCATCACGGGAACGGAAAGAGCGACTCGGGCGCTGGCCCGAGAGCTCACGGCACCATTCGCTCTTGGGAGCCTTGGCGTTATGAGCTTGTTTACGTCACCGTTCGCTCTTGGGAGTCTTGATGTGAAGATCGTTTTCACGTCGTCGCTCGCTCGTGGGATCCTCGGCGTTAAAAGTTATTCACGTCACCATTCGCTCTTGGGAACCTTGGTGTGAAGAGCTGTACCCATCCCCGCTCGCTCTTGAAAGCCTTGGAGTTATGAGCTGTTTACGTCACCGTTTGTTATTGGGAGCCTTGGTCTGATGATCTGTTTCACGTCACCGTTCGCTCTTGGGAGCCTTGGCGTTAAGAGCTTGTTACTTCACTGTTCACTCTTGGGAGCCTTGGCGTTCAGAGCTTTTCACGTCACCAACTTGTACAAAAATGGCTTTCCAATCACCTGGTTCTCTTGGGAGCCTTTGGCGCCCGAAGCTGCGTCCGTCACTAAGCCGTTCCGGGGTGTCTCCTGGGGGCCCTTTTGGGTGTTGGGGCCCTCTTGGCCGCTCTGGGGCCCTCGTGGGGCCCTCTTACGGGCCCTCTTCGGCCATCTCGGCGGCCTCCTTCGGCCCTCTGGGGGCTCTCTTGCAGGCCTCTTGGGGCCCTCAAGACGGCCCAGGGGTCCCCAAAGACGGCCCCAAGACGGCCCACGAGGGCCCCAAGACTGCCCGGGAGACCCCCAAGACGGCCCCCGAGGGCCCCAGGAGAAATCCAAGGCG